AGCTGTGGATAAGAAATATTTATTACACACTTGTGGGGCTGGGGCCATTTCTTACTAGAACTGTAGTCAATAGTTGGTTTTAACTGTTTCAGTTTCCTTTGATCCAGCATAAGTTTTAAGTATTTCCATTAAGACACAGTCCATTACTTATCATTTGTGAAACTGCCCAAATATCTTCTGTAGCACAACAACAAATTTATCTTAGTTCTGAGGAGACTAAACGGACAACTTTTAACTGAAAAGCTTGGTTTCCATGTGATATCATCACCAATGTCCTGTAATTCAGTGTATCATGGGATGAGGTGATTTTTGATAAGAAAAATATATATCCACCATGAATACAAATTAGTAACATCATAATTTCCCCAGTTTGTGGTTTCTTAGCTGATGTGATTACATTAAGCTGTATATTAAAGATGCACCAATCCTCAAAGGTTGCTGGAGGCACTGAAACTGGTTGGTGCTCTGTATCACAGTGAGAGTTAGTAGACAAACTGGATTGGGAAGATTTTAGGGTGATTTATGAACACAATCGGTCTTTTTCATGGAGGCTTTAGAGTGAATGGAATATATAACCCCATTAACTTGTGGTATCCTGCAGAGACCTCCTAAGCCCAGGTGTTCTTACCCAGGTGTGCTAGTACGTGGCCAGCCACTATCTTCCTGGTTTTGTTATGTGACACTGTCCAGTAAGGTGTCTTTGTGGTGTCATTAGGGCCCCGTATGTCATAGTAGGTAACATTGACTGGTGACGGCACACTCACAGGATATGACAAAGTGGCTGTGTGGCGGGGAGGGGGAAGGATGAGTCAAACTTGGCCTGACCTCATTCTGCTGTGTTAGGATACTGTTCATAATAATAATACACATCACATCAGCAGTGAGGTGAATGAGGAGGCAGTTTATAGACTGCAGATCATAGCTGCTATCTAGTGAGTAGAGAGAGTTGTCAAGGAAAGTGGATACTAGTATCAATACAGGGTAATGAAGTGAGGATAGCAGCAACAACACAGAGATAAAAGGAGCTAGTGGTAATAATACCTGGAGTAGATTATCTATTGGAGCACCCTACATTGGAGCACATTATATTGGAGCATATTATATTGGAACACCCTGGTCCCAGTATGGAGGACATGGTGGAGTTGGTGCACAGTCTGCCAGACATCATGGTAACCATGGCACAGGATTCTCAGGTGAGATGAGGCCAGGTGACACACAGCTAGAATCCTGGACATGTTCATCCTTGGCAGTCTTAGTGTATGGTTGCCGTGGTAACAGGTTTTATTGTCCATATTACTGTACCACACATCACTGAGACTACAAAGTGAAAAACGGGGGAAGGGGGGGGGGATGAATGAGGACATTTTGTCTCTTGAAATGAAAATAAGATGATATCAGTGTATGAAGGAAAGGTGTGAAGCTTTATGATGGGATGCATGCAACTTTTTTTTGTTTTGATTCTGAAGATTAAGATGCCAGAGATAGATGTTTTCATTAGTCTGCTGTCCCCAGTCTGCCCAATCAGTATATCATGGGTTACAAACTTCTTCTCCAATGTAGAAGCTATACCCGGATATAAATCTGCCACTTTCTGTTCTTGTTTCCTTTGGAAATCATGAAATGCTGACATGTTACAGGTTACTTTAGTGTTACATTATCTTGCACAAGTGGAACCCACAAAAACCACAAAGTTGTTAGTCAGTGCATAAGGTGTCACTGTGTCAGATGTGTTAACAAGTGAACTGTCCTTAGTATTATGTCAGTCCTAATCCACCCTCCCTGCAGTCAGTTCTAATGCGGCCTTCCCTGCAGTCAGTTCTAATGCAGCCCTCCCTGCAGTCAGTTCTAATGCAGCCCTCCCTGCAGTCAGTTCTAATGTGGCTCTCCCTGCAGTCAGTTCTAATGTGGCTCTCCCTGCAGTCAGTTCTAATGTGGCTCTCCCTGCAGTCGGTTCTAATGTGGCCCTCCCTGCAGTCAGTTCTAATGCGGCCCTCTGTGCAGTCAGTTCTAATGTGGCCCTCCCTGCAGTCAGTTCTAATGTGGCTCTCCCTGCAGTCAGTATTTATGCAGCCCTCCCTGCTCTCAGTTCTAAAACCTCTTCCCTACAGTCAGTTCTAATGTGCCTCTCCCTCTGTTGATAATAACAATTAATGATGGGTGGACAATAATGGGAGAAGTGCTTGTTGAGGAAGATAAATTACACAAGAAGCAGTTAATAATGTTCTTTATTGGTTCTTGCACATTTCTTTACACAAAGGTTATGGCCTAGCAGTTATACAGTACAAAATGATGTCAATAATGAAGACCTTTATATACATAATGTTGGTGGCTTCCTTAATAAAGACACTGGGCAATGTAAAGTTGTGTGTGGGTGGATGGAAATGTACAGGAGTGTTATATAGGTCATCCATAAGACAAGTCTTGCACACCTCTCTTTGGTTCAAAAGAAATGTCACATTTCCTTTTCCTAAAACAGAACATGTTTGTTTTTTTTATCATGACTTTGACATTATGAAACCCACCATTTTATTCTGAATAGTTCTTTGTCTCACAAAGAGAAAACCAAAGAAAATGAAACTAAAACATACATTTCTAACCTTGCCAAGTAAAAGTAGTATACATTGGAAGTCATATGATACATCCTATCAAACATTGGCTATAGTCTACAGAAGCAGTAAATGTCATCTATCAAACATTGGCTATAGTCTACAGAAGCAGTAAAAGTCATCTATCAAACATTGGCTATAGTCTACAGAAGCGATAGAAGTCTATCAAACATTGGCTATAGTCTACAGAAGCAGTAAAAGTCATCTATCAAACATTGGCTATAGTCTACAGAAGCGATAGAAGTCTATCAAACATTGTCTATAGTCTACAGAAGCGATAGAAGTCTCAAACATAGCAGTCTACAGAAGCAGTAGTAGCTGCCACTCACTACTGGGCTATAGAGATGGTCATTGATCCAAAACAGTGGAGTGAATGATGACTCATCCAGTATATCCCACTGCTTACTGGTTATTGTAATTAATTATGGTGAGGTAATCCTATATATACTATGACTCACTATTAAATTGTAAACAAAGGTTTCAGCAGGTCAGTTTGTCCTTGTTGTCTCGATAAAGGGGACAAAAGACGGGTTTCCGTAATCCGGTCCAATAACTTGAATCATTTATTTCATGGAAAACTTTCTGTTGGTTGCTTACACTAGAATCTCAGGCAGTTAAAGAAAGATTTTAAAGACGGTCCTAAGAAGTGAGCCATTTTAACATGAAGACACATTACAATAAGGTAATAAAGTAAAAGTTGGTGCTGTTAAAACTTTGAGAAAAAGTAACAATATTTTGAAGAAAACTCCCAAGATCCTCGGTCGTGGTTATTACTGTGGCTGACCAGCTGTTCACAGAGGTATAGTTCACTATAGAAGACTAGTTGGAAGTTTTCCCCTGTTGTATAGCTCTCATGTGATGAGGCTACATGGTGAAGGGGGGATATATATGTATGGGGAGGGGTGGGGTATAGAACTGGCCTTCTCGTACAGCTCTGTATGTCTTCTTCCATTCACCTTATTTATTAGTGACAGATAGGTTGGGGAAAAGATCAAATAGTTGGCATTCTATTGTGTAAAGCAGCGGTGAACTGTGAATGTGGTATAATATAATAAGTAGGTTACCTATTGTATAAGCCAGGCTTCCTTCATACCTCCTATGTCAATGTGCCATTTTAATGACCAGTTCAGATTTTAGGAAAAGGACCTGGAATTTTAGAAAAAAACTCGAATTCTAGAAGAAAACTCTTGATTGCCAATGTTCCAAGTTTGTAGATGGATTGCAAAGCATGCTTTCAAGTCTTGGTTTTCAATTTAAAAAAAAATCAGAAATCAGAAATTGTGCCTATTGTTTAATTCAACTTAATTTAAAGGATAATTTTTAGAAGGGAAGTCATTTTCAAGAAGAGGAAAATACAGAAATGAGTGATAACAAATTTAGTAGTTCTATCACCATGTAATGCATTTGAGAGTATTTAAATGTCTTTTTACTTTAATTTTTGTACAGGGAAGGTTTAGTAAATAAAGCATCTGCTTTTCAAGGCTTGGTATATATTTTTTTTATTCTACACAATCCATGTACAAAATTAAACGGAAAGTGAGACTTAAATACATAAAGTGATGGGCAGTCTTCATCAGTGATATCAGGGTAGTAGATGTCAGTTTATTCTTGGTTTGCCTGAAGGAAAGCCATGCAGGTGTTACCTGAACACACAGTATTCACTTGACAAGAATGGCAGACTGCATAGCTTTTCCATTCCACCTCTAGCAGTGATAAAACTTCAAACTCTCCAAGTAAAAGTAAGGAAGACAGTTGAAATACAAAGAACATCAATGAAAAGAAATGTCTGGTTCTTTGTATCACTGTCTCCTATTTCTTTTTTACGTGATATGTTTTACCAAACCTAGTTGCCAGTTTGTTTTATTTGTGTTTGTCCATTGAGGAAGTAAAGGTTTGTTCCCTCCAGACCATAATAAGTGCCCAGGTTGGTGGCCAAGTTGATATTGGGGGGAGATGGCCAAGATTAGTAATATACATAATAGGGGGCGGTGCAGCACCTCCCAGCAGCCCCCTTTAATGATAGGTACACTGATGAAGACAAGCTTACTGCCTTGAATTTAGTATGCAGATCCAAGTTAGTAATAGCATATCTAAGCCCTAAGAACAGGTTAATGGCACTGTTAGTATGCAGCTCACACAGCTCACAGACAGCAGCAGGGAGAGATGTGAAGAGAAAAATGCTCAAGTTTTCATTTGTTCTTCAGCGTACAAAACGTGCCAAACAGAAAAATGTAAAGCTAAATCCTCAAGTAAGTTGTGAGTGTGTTGTTCATTGCCTGGTTACACTGGTGTTATGTTCTCTTCTACAGAACTCATTTTCTTGTTCATGGATATTGGTGGAATGAGATACAGGTATTTAGTAGCTAGTAACGCGTGCATTGTCGTGTGTTTTAGGACCTAGAGCTACAGCAGAAGATTGACCATGAAATCAAGATGCGAGACGGCACGGCCAAACTCCTGGCCGCCTCCAAACACCCAGCGCAGATGTTGGAGGCAGCCAAGAACCTGTTGTCCTCCAACCACAGGATGATAGCTTACATGTCAGAGCTACAGAAACGCAAGACAGATGAAGTGATGGGGAAGAAACAGTGAGTATCCTCTAGGGCTGTGGCCACTGGATCACAAACAGCCTGCCTCGTCTAGCTTATATATTTTGTGGTTCCCCACTGTTGTTATGGTTACTTTTATCAGAGAATTTAAAATTCCATTTTTTATTGACATTTAATTCAGTGTGCATAAAAACATATTTAAACTCATGTGAAGAATCTGTGACATGCAGTTGTCATATGGTGTATGTTTTTATAACTTGCTATTATACTTACTGACATCCTATATTCAGAGTGTTACGTGACTCTCTGAAATCCTGCCTCTCAGTTGTCATTGTAAATATGATATTATCCCATCTCCCAGGTGCTGAGAATGATATCATCCTAACCCCCAGTCTCCATGTGACTGACCTTACCCTATCTCCCACTTGTCATGTGACAGACCTTATTCCATCTCCCACTAGTCATGTGACTAGCCTTACCCTATCTCCCACTTGTCATGTGACAGACCTTACCCTATTCTCTAGCTCTTGTGCAAAGTACATACTAACCCCTAGCTCTTGTGTAAAGGACATTACCCTAACCCCTAGCTCTTGTGTAAAGGACATTACCTTAACCCCTAGCTCTTTTGTAAAGGACATTACCCTAACCCCTAGCTCTTGTGTAAAGGACATTACCCTAACCCCTAGCTCTTGTGTAAAGTACATTACCCTAACCCCTAGCTTTTCTGTAGAGATCATTATTCTAACCCCCTGGCTTTTGAATAAAGAACATTACCCTAAACCCCAAGCTTTTGTGTAAAGGACATTATCCTCACCTTAGTTATTGTTTAAAAGACATTATCCTAACCCCCTTGCTTTTATTTGAAGGACAGAATACTTACCTTAGTTGATGTAATGTGAAAGACATTATCCTAACTCCTAATTTTCATGTCATATTTGTATTGAAAACAATCCCTGCCTGACAGATTGCACTGTGTCATGTGTCATTGTTTCAGATCCACGGCAGGCAACCAGGTGCCCTGTAAAGGAAGAGTAGGCATCTCAGGTACGACAGCAGTTTATTCCCCCAAAGAATGCTGAGAAGTTAATGCCTTTTTGTTGCTATGTTAATCTGCTTAGCTGAATACTTTCAAAGAACACATGCAAATAATTGATTGCTTTGACTACTATGAAGACAGCACTGCTCTTCTTCAATTGTTTATTTATTAAACTGTATTTAGTAACTTTCTCATAAATAAACAGTATTATATGATGATAGATTACATGATAATAGTAGTTTAAATGTGAGGTACAAGAGACACCAGTGTGCTTATTATTGTAATTTGTGTCTCACTGTGTTATTTTTCTCTGCAGACCTACGCATTCCTCTAATGTGGAAGGATTCAGATCATTTCAAGAACAAAGGAGGTAAGTTGCAACAAAGTGGATTTTTTGGTTTCATACAAGCATAGTGCATTTCAACAAGTTGCAAAACACATTGATTCCTCTTTGGTTGAGGATTTTGTTTTCCAAATTTATAATTGACTGAAAGTTTAAATTGAAGGTGTCCAGTTATTTGACAGAAAGTTATCCAGGATTGAGTCCATGTTCCCTCTTTATTCTGTTAATACTTGGAGGAAGTAATTTTCTTAATCTTCACCTGCGTGGTTAATGAGACCCTAATTATCAGTAATAATGCAGTATTAGTAAGATGAGAATGTCTGTGCTGACTGGCTGTGAAATGGCT